TATATCCTATATATATATATATATATCAAGTCATCACATTGTGTATCAAAAACTTATACAATGTTATATGTCAATTATATCCCAATAAGGCTGAGAAAAAAAACTTAAAAGAATTTGATGAAAACAGTGTCTCTCTCTTGTTCCATATAAGTTTCATTAAGAACCTATCTATTTCTCATGAGACTATTTTAGATTTTATATTCTGTAATAGTGCATAGGATCAATTCATTATTCGTTACTTCAGTTTTTAAAAGCTTGAGCTCATCACTGATATTTTTCCAAGACCCATACGTGTTTGACCCAAGTTTATTAACGCTCACCTCTTTTAAGCATGTGCCAAGACAAATATACAATTTCCCCTGCCCATATGACAATTCTAAAAGAATACCGTTTTTCTAATAGCAATGAAATGGTCTAAAAACTTGTCTACCTTACCGATTTTATGAGTTCTTCAGAGAGTTACTTTCACCTTATCCCCAGAGCTCTCCCTTCTTGTTTTAAAACATCGGCTCAGAACCAATACAGTGTCACGGTCATTCAGTAAGTATGCTCGACCTAATTCCCTCTCAAGACCATCTGAGGCGAATAAAGGCCTTGGATTTTGTTCAGTTGGCAAAGCGACCTACAATGCAGCACGGCCACCTCACAAGACCTGGGGATGTTTCACAGACACCGGTTCAGCTACTTGTAAGTTAAGTCTTTGTCGTTTCATTCAAGAAGCATCCAACAAGCATTCTAATTGCATGCTTGCCTCATTTCCAATAACTGCTAATAGGCAGTGTCTAAAGTTGCATCTCAAATTGCTAACATTTTCTTTCGATAAACTTTTGTAAAAAGTATCTGATGAGAATAGCCAAGTGTAGACATCTGCACAAATTCTTTGTAGGATAAATCTGCCAAAGCTCTATTTCTTTACAGAGCTCTTGGCCAGGTAAAATAACATCAACAAAATCCAAGAGCAAATTTTAAAAAGACAGCCGTTTTTCCTCAGATGTCAAACTAGAAGAGAATACTTCTTGTTTCTCCAAGTAACAATAATAATAATAATAATAATAAGTTTTACTAAAAGGACCTCCCCAAATCTCTTTTCCATGAGAGAAGGGAATATGAGAGAAATCATACAAGAGACAACTGCTTTGGAATTTATTATAAATCGCAAACTGTTAGGGCCGTGACCACACAAACACACATATGCACATACAAACAGCGATCAAAGTTAATATTTTAGAAAGAGTTTCAGGCTTTCAGCATTTAGGATAGTCAACTATTTTATTTTTAAACTGTTTCTTCCTAAGGTACTGCTTCAAGTCCAATGAAGAAAAACTTCAAATTTCAGAGAAATCTTAAAAAAACAGGTTGACAGAGCGTATCATATAGACCAGCATTTGGAACGTAGATACCATTTATTTTTTACCTAATCTAGAAAGATATATGTGTGATATAACTTGTTTAGATAATAATTCTATATTAAATTTACATTTTAAGGTACATAGCAAAGTAAAACACCTTCTGACAATATTCCACTAGAGTGTGAGCACTGAGACTTTGTGACAGTCACTGTGATATCTGTAGCATGGAATAGCAGCTCGATAAACACTTGCCGAAAAAATGCAACAATAAATTTAAGTTGTTTTGTAACCAGTAACCGGGGTTATCACACTCAAACACTTGCGAGACAGATCAAATCACGCATAAGAGTGAGCAGGGTAGAATATTACAAGCAGCCTAGAGTGACAGGAAGCGTGGGAAGCTGGCGAGCTCACCCAGTGTCCGGGACAGAACCGCTGTTCACCGCCATCTGCTCGTTGCTCAGAACTGCCCGGCGCACCCAAAGCTTCCAGAGATGCCGGCGATGCAACCCTTTCTGACTGTTATCACAAAACGCTGTGCAGGTCTCTATGAGCCGTAGTTTATTTACAGCTTGAGATGCTAGAGACATCACGGGAACTGCTCCAAGTAAGTGTTTGCACTCCCAGGGGACACGTGGCAATGTCTGGAGACGTTTTTACTTGTGACAGTTGAGGAGAGAGGTACTGGCTTCTGGTGGGTAGAGGTCATGGATGCTGCTTACGCATCCCACGATGCACAGGACGGTCCCCCACGTGATAAAAATCTGTCCGTCTGCAAACATCAAGAGCGCCGAGATTGGGGATTTCGGAACGAAATGCCACAGGCATGCTGTTAATTAGTCAAAATAACAGAGTCGATCTTGATAAACGACGTCCCCAGGACAGACGAGTAAAAGGCTGTTCGCAGCATGATGTGTAATCATCGTATAATTCTATATATTTAGGTCGCATTCATCCCCCTAAGACATGGTGGTTTTGATGATTATCACATTAAGCCCAAAGTTTATGGGTACGCATTCGAAACATCTGGTCAACCAGCAAGTCCTGCCAAACCAACGCAAGATCCCTTTCTTTCTATTCTGCTGCTATATTTCTTCCTTAAAGGGAACCTATTCCGTCTTGCTCCACCCAGATCAGCAGCTTCTTCGAAGCAACTATTCTTTTTTATCTCTTTAATTCATGTTCACCTCAAAACAAAGCAGAATACAGTTCCCGCGTCCTGTCTGCACCACACGGGCACACCTGCCTACGCAGTCGGCAACCCGCTGGTTCCCCGATGACAGTCTGTGAACCTACGCTGACGTCTTTCCATCTCCCAGAGTCCACAGTCTGCATGAGGGTTTTTGGTGTACGTTACACGGCTCTCGACAAATGCATGACATGAATCCACCATGATAGTACCACGCGGCATGGTTTCGGCCCCGTGAACATCCTCTGTGGTCCCCTACTCACCCTGCCCTCCCTCACCGCCTCCCCCGTTCCCATCCCTGACAAAACACTGACCTTTTACAGTTTCCAGAGTTTTGCCCTTTACAGGATGTCGTAGAGTTGGAATCCTACAGCAGGTGGCCTTTTCAGACGAGCTTCGTTCACTCAGCAGTATGCATTTAAGGTTCTGCCTCGTCTTTTCATGCTTGATAGCTCATTTCTTCATTTTTTATTTTTATTTTTCAGTTACAGTTGACAGTCAGTATTATTCTATATTAGTTTCAGGTGTACAGCATGGTATTTAGACAATTATATAATTTATGAAGTGATCCTCTGACTACTCTAGTACCCGCCTGGCCCCGTACAAAGTTATTACGATATCATCAAACTATCTTTTATTTTTTTTGAGCATTGCTGTCCAGACGGCAGGCATTGATTCTCCTTCTACGCAAACACGAAGCATTTACAGTTTCCCTCAAAAGTTCTCACACTTTATT